ATCTTAAATGTTGTACCCCAGCATCTTAAAGCTGGGGGACATAGCTTTTTGCATAGATTATTATTATTATTATTTTTTACTAATGTTGTTTCTCCCAACAGAAAGAGTCTTGTAAATGTGTTATGTTGTGAACTGATCAGGAAACATGTTGTCTTCATCTTAGAAAAAATATCATCATTTGGAGACTTAGCTGAGAGATGATCGGCTGAGAGACGGCGGTCCTCTCTTTCTCACTTTTCTGTCTGAAAAAGCTGATTTAAGGATAAGACAGGGGCCACATTTGGAAACTAGTGATGGAACCAAAGTAGTCATTGTGATACATACCAGGAACAAGTTACATGGATTTTTAATTTAGGAACCACAGCTTTAAGATAAACGCTCCTTTTCAGAATGACACAGATGCAGAGCGAGAAAACCTTGGTCCTACATTATTATTGACGTTATCATGGCGTTTGATTCAAATTCAAATGTATGGACTTGTCTTGTAGATGTGATGCAAAACCTTCCTTTGTAACCCACCCTTCTCCTGAGTGCCCACCACATCCATACTGGTAATGACTTGTGCACTGCAGCTCTGCCTGTCCCTGCAGCCATAAGCAGTCTCTCTATACGCTCATATACTTTCCTTTCCATCACTCCCGCCCCTTGGACAATGCTGCTGCGCTTGGCTAACGCATTGTTCTGCCTGTGGGAACGGCGGCCTATACGAGGAGACGGCTGCAGACATAATGGTGTTCTTAAAGCGCGGCACGATGAAAGACAGAGGGAGAAAGTTGCCCGTCTTCACACTTGGTTGGTCTCCTCCAGTCTCTGCGTGCACTACTTTGTTCTTAAGAGACTTCTTTGAAACCAGACAAGGGAGTGGGATGAATCAAAAGAGGCCATGCCACACACAGCAGCCCCTGCTCTGAGCGCCACATGGACACACCTTTCACATCTGGGAGGACAGACACTGGCACCCTGCATCCTAATATAATACTTTTAGATGGCATTGAAGCCTAATATCAAAACCACTAACAAGTAACCCTGTAATACATTAGTTGTATCTATCGTTCCTTGTTCACTCATATATTGATAGATTAAATAAAATGTGTATCACTATAAGTTTACTATCTAGTTTTTTTTCATGATCGTCATGCTTGTTTTGGAATGTGTGTGTAATTGCGAGCCAAAGACACACTGTTGTCATCATTTTGCATGAGAGACAATAAAGTCCTTAACTCCTCTGCATTATTTTCTGCCTAGGTCTAAATATTTAATGTGTGTTCACGTCATAAAACAATCAATATATTTACTTTAAAACTCCTCATTTTACAGAACAAAATACCAGAATAACAGACAGTTTTGAAAAGGGAAGGTTGGGGGACAAGAGGGTCCTGAACATCCATGCAGGACCTTGATTGTACCTCCTGCAGGACACTCTGTCACTGTACTCGCTGCTAGTATTACTACTACATTATTACATTATTACATATTCCACACATCTGATAATTCTGCTCTGATAATTTACTGTACCTGCTGGTCATGACTATTGTTTATTCTGGTCACTCTGCTGCTAAAGTAAAATATCAACCATCTGTAAATACTTCAGGACTTTTCCTTGAACCACATGCAATTATAGCTCCAGACTTTTATTATCGTATTATATTATTATCTATTATCTTAAATAATAGATTCTGTTTGATGGGTGCATTACCTGAGTGCGCTTATTTGTTTTCCTTTGTATTCTGTGCGCAACTACGACATTGAATTTCCCCCACTGAGGGACCAATAAAGGTTTTTCTTATCTCGTCTTATGTCTCTAAAACTCGGTAAACATATTTGTAATGCATTCGTTGTATGAGTCCTTTCAGATTGAACTTTTGCTTTAGTTCAAGCACTGCACAAAAGACAGAAGTGAAATAAAAGAACAAGAGTGTTTTATCACTGCAATTATTACCCCCACTTCCCATAAACACATTCAACCCCTGAATCCATTGTTAGACAATGCATGAACGTAAAGAACCCCATATGGTGTACCTGAAGGTATCCATTAAAGGAAAATCTTTTCTTTCTTTTTGTTCAGAAAGAAATCCATGTTCATCATCACACCTTCATAGCAACATATGCACCTGCTGTGAACTTGAGAAAGACACGGCACCTTGGCTTATTATCCTTCTTCTGCTACTTTGTGCTTTTCTGATTCTACTGTTCCACACAAGATTGGTGTTCTCATTAAAACTGTGCACTTTTGCTACGGACAGTTCCAAAAATTGATTAAACTGATGCCTTCATTTACAAGGGAAACTCCAGTTAGCCTAAGCAAGCTAGGTTAGTCCACCATCTCCCTCCAGAACGTATTATGTATATGTATATAAGGCAAGGCAAGGCAAGGCAAGGCAAGTTTATTTGTATAGCACAATTCATACACAAGGCAACTCAAAGTGCTGAACAAGATAGCATTAAAATCATAAATAATCACAGAACATTAAAACGAAAGATAAAAATATAAAATCCCTCAGTTGTATGCACAGCTAAACAGCACCGTCTTTAACTTGGTTTTAAACATTGTCAGAGAGGGGGCCTGTCTCACATCTTCAGGAAGATTGTTCCAGATTTTAGCAGCATGAATCTGAAAAGCAGCCTCCCCATGTTTAGTTCTGACTCTGGGCACTAACAGGAGTCCAGTTACTGTGCGTGCTCCTCAGAGTCCGGGCTGGTTCATATGGGACTAACATGTCACTAATATATTTTGGTGCGAGGCCATGGAGAGACTTGTACACAAGCAGAGCTGTTTTAAAGTCTATTCTCTGAGCCACAGGAAGCCAGTGCAGGGACCTGAGGACTGGACTAATGTGGTCGTACTTCCTGGTTCTAGTCAGGACTCGAGCTGCTGCATTTTGAATGTACTGCAGCTGTTTTACAGCCTGTTTGGACAAAAAACCTGTGAGCAGGCCATTGCAGTAGTCTAACCTACTGGAGACAAATGCATGGAAAAGAATCTCCAAGTCTGCTTTAGACACTATGTTTTTGATCCTGGCAATGTTTTTTAGATGGTAAAAAGCTGCTGATGTTACTGATTTGATGTGGCTATTAAAATTTAAGTCTGAGTCCAGTATTACCCCTAGATTTCTGACCTTGTTTGAAGGTTTTAGGGAGAGAGACTGTAGGTGACAGATGACGCTCTCTCTTTGTTTCTGGGGACCAAAGACAATCATTTCAGTTTTGTCTGCGTTTAGCTAAAGGAAGTTGTTTTGCATCCACTCACTGATCTGTTGGATACAGTGAAGGAGTGAGTCCACTGGTCCATGTTCTCCTGCTGTCAGTGAGACATAGATCTGAGTGTCGTCTGCATAGTTATGATAGGAAACTTTGTTTCTGCGTATTAACTGACCTAACGGCAGCATGTAGAGATTGAACAGAAGAGGTCCCAGGATCGACCCCTGTGGGACTCCACAGGTCAGGGCCATATGATCTGAGACACAGTTTCCAATCTCCACAAAGTACTTCCTGTCTTCAAGGTAAGACCTAGACCAACTTAGGGCGGTGCCAGCGACGCCAACCCAGTCCTCTAGTCTCTGTAAGAGGATCTCATGGTCGACAGTGTCAAAGGCAGCACTCAGATCTAACAGGATTAAGATTGAGACTTTGCCTGCGTCAGTGTTCAGCCGGATATCATTTGTAACCTTGACGAGAGCAGTCTCAGTGCTGTGGTGGGGTCTAAAGCCGGACTGAAACATATCAAATGAGTTGTTGATTATAAGAAATCTAGTAAGCTGTAGGTAGACAACTTTTTCAAGGACTTTCCCCATAAATGGCAGATTTGAGATGGGACGATAGTTGTTAAGTGCCGTAGCATCCAGACTGCTCTTTTTTAGCAGGGGCCTGATGACTGCAGTTTTCAGGGCCTTTGGGAATATTCCAGAATCAAGGGACATGTTTACTATCTGTGTGAGTGAAGGTAACAGACTGCTCACAACAGACTTCAGAAATCTAGTGGGTAGTACATCCAGGCTGCATGTGGAGGAGCTCAAACTGGAGATTGTCTCTTGGACAGTTTGATCATTTACAGGTGCAAAGTGAGTTAGCGCAAAGAGCCTTTCTGGCTGTTGGATTGTTATCTGTGGATTGGAGACAATGGCGTTTTTGATGCCTTGAACCTTGTCATTGAAAAAATGTGCAAACTCATTACATTTACGTTTGGAAGTTAGCTCTAATGGCATTTGAACAGGGGGGTTTGTTAATCTATTAACTGTTGAAAACAGAACACGCAGATTGTTGCTGCAGCCTTCAATCATTTCAGAAAAATACCTTTCTCTCGTACTCCGTAGCACCTGGTTAAACTCGCACAACTTATCTTTGAAGATCTTGTAATCAACCTGGAGGTTGGACTTGCGCCACTTCCGCTCAACCCTCCGGCACTCTCTCTTTTGTGCCCTGACCGAGTCTGCTTTAGCCCACGGCGCCTTCTGCTTATTTTTCACTATTTTAACCTTCGCAGGAGCGATGGTGTCCAGAACTTTCAAAACACTAGAGGTGACAGAGTTAAACAGTTAATCTACAGTAGAATACAATGCATTCTCAAAGTTTATCATTCCCATAAATAGTTCACCCGTATTTTCATTTATGTGTCTTCTTCGTACAGTTGCAGAGTCCACTGGTGGTTTGTTAGTGAAACACATGTCAAAAAATATACAAAAATGATCCGAAAGCGTAACATCGACCACGTTTACATTAGAAATGTTCACCCCCTTTGTAACTAACAGGTCTAGAGTGTGCCCTCTGCTGTGGGTGGGGCCACTTACGTGCTGAGTGAGACCAAAAGATTCAAGAACAGAACTCAGCTCTTTAGCATTTCTGTCATCAACATTATCCACATGAATATTAAAATCACCTGTAATAGGACTTCCGGGTAGCGAGCGACCACGATGGATGACTAGTTAAGCGCTCCCGACAGCAAAGTTGGTAAAATCCCCCCCAATTCAAGACCACCGTGCCTTGTTACTCGAATTTAGACTGGAATGCGTGGGGGTGTGAAGACTAGAAGTCGTAGAAAACGAGAACCGCAACAAAACGGGCAGAAAATGGCAGAAACGGAACAAGGTGATGGAGCAGAAAATGTTAGCTCGATGCTAAGAGCTATAAAGACGGATCTGCAAGAGTTCCGCGTTGAAAACAAGAATGACTTTCGGAACATGAAAGAGGAGCTGAGAAACGACATGAAAGCTGAGCTGGCGTTGCTGAAAGGTGAAGTTTATCAAAGTATATCTGAAAATACTGAGAAGGCTAACGCTCTCGAGATCAAGCTAGCTGAAGCGGAGGCACGTATCGCGGAGGCGGAGAAATTGAACGCAGCCATGAAGGATGCATTGACGAAAGTGATGAAAAACCAAATGATTGTGCAAAGTAAGCTGACGGACATTGAAGGGAGGTCAAGAAGAAATAACATTCGGATATATGGTGTCAAAGAAGGATCAGAAAGTGATTCGATGCTACAGTTCATGGACGGATTGCTGAAGAAAACACTTTCACTGCCACAGGACATGAATCTGCGAATGCAGCGAGCCCACAGAGCACTGACCCGAAAGCCAGAAGGAGATGCGCCACCCAGGTCAATAATCATAAACTTTCAGGAATACACGCTCAAAGAAGATATCTTGAAAAGGGCCTGGGCACAAAGAATAATGCATGATGGGCAGCGCATATCATTCGACCACGATTACGCGACAGACGTGGTGCAGAAGCGCAGAGAATATGGAAACATTAAGCGGGCTTTGAAAGAGAAAAGCGTTCGTTTCCAAACGCCGCTGGATAAAATACGAATACACTGGGACACGGGAGCACGTACCTACGGCAGCGCGCGGGAAGCGGCAATCGAGATGAGAAGAAGAGGATACGTGGTGCCGGTACCGTAGCGTAACCCAGCGGAGCTGAGTCCTGAACTGGAGCGTTTGTCTCAAGCTACGGAGTGGCAGAGAACCGGCATATAACAAGTTGAGAGGGCTGCGATAAGGACGCTCCTTTCACGGTGAGAGAGGAGATTGTCTTCCTGCTCAATGGTGTTCTTGTTAAGATAACTGTGAATCTATTTAACCGACTTCAATCTATTCTAAATCACTTGCTGTGGGGTGAAGGTAACGTTACGTTGGACTCTGGATGCGTGAGACACGTCTCACATCCTGTGAGGGGCCCTCTGTGAAGAGATTTTCCCCTCAGCCTTCCAACGGGGACATGGGGTGTAAAGGATTCACCCCAATTTGGGAGTCCTATTTTTCCTTTTATTTTTATTTGACAGACTGTTTTTGGCCAAATGTTCAGGTCACTGTTACTTTTAGTTGTCTGGTAAGTTTAAAATTTCCACTGTGCAGATATTATGCCTTTTAACAATATAAAACTGGTTTCTTTGAATGTAAATGGTTTAAATAATCCAATCAAACGAAGTAAAGTTTTGGCTAAACTAAGAAAAGAAAATGCTCAAATTATTTTCATGCAGGAGACTCACTTGCCTTCACACGAGCATGAAAAACTAAAGAGATTTGGCTACAAAAACATGTATTATAGCTCATATAAACAAAGTCAAAAAAGAGGAGTAGCCATTTTGATTGCAAACACAGTTCAGTTTGAAATGTATAAAGAGGTAGCGGATAAAGAGGGTAGGTATGTGCTGATTAAAGGTAAATTGGAGAACAAACTCATCACATTGGTTAATATCTATGCTCCACCAGAAAGTAATTCAAGTTTTCTTAAAATGGTATTCAACATAGTTGCACGGGAGTCTGAAGGTTTGGTGTTGTGTGGAGGGGACTTCAATGTCGTGTTGAACCGCAGTATTGATACAACTAGCATTAAAAAATCTAAACATCGTATGACAAATGTAATGAATACAATAATACAGGAATTGGGAATGATTGACATTTGGAGGACACTTAATCCGCATGTTAGAGACTATACACATTATTCTGCTGCTCATGCAGTTTACTCAAGAATTGACTACTTCATAATTAATGCAGAGGAAGCTCACAATGTCACAGACTGCAAGATTGGTGTGACAGATGTTTCGGATCATAGTATGATTAGTTTGGAAATTAATCTAAATAACAGGAAAATAAATACAGCATGGAGGCTTAATGTGGGTATTTTGAACCGGGAGGAGTATGTTAAAAAGATTAAGGAGGAAATTCTGGAGTACATAGAACACAATGATACAGGGGACGTGAACCCAGTGATTCTTTGGGATGCTCTGAAGGCAGTATTACGAGGGAAACTAATTGCTCTCACAGCTGCACAAAAACGAGATAGGCTTGCTACCTATAAGAACAAGACCAAAATACTTAAAACCTTGGAGGAAGAACATAAACTAACTGGCAATCAAACATTTTACAAAAAATAATAAATATTAGGAAAGAAATAGATGAAATTCTTGGAGTAGAAGTAGAAAGGAAAGCAAGATTTACCAAACAAACCTATTATGAATCTGGCCCAAAAGCAGCTAAAATGTTAGCAAGACGTCTGCGTAAACAACAAGCATCAATGGCTATTAACAAAAATAAGAAATATTAATAACAATAGATTACACAATACACCATACGAGATAGAAAATGAGTTCAAGAAATATTATGTAGGGTTGTATTCTCAACCACCAGCTGCTGATAGTGAAACAATCAGGACCTTTCTTGAGTCGCTGGATCTGCCTTCAATAGGAGAAAACCAAAATAATACAATTACATCACAGATCACAGACAAAGAACTAGAGGTTGCTATTAGCAAGCAAAAAAATTGTAAGTCACCAGGTAGCGATGGTTTTCAGTCTGAATTTTATAAGGTGTTTAGAGAAGAATTAAAGCCTCTCCTTTTAGCATGTTTTAATTGGACTCTTAAAGAGGGCATAGCCCCACCATCTTGGGGAGAAGCCATCATCACAATCTTACCTAAAGAAGGGAAGGATAAGGAGCATTGCAAAAATTATAGACCTATTTCCCTTCTTAATGTTGACTATAAAATCTATGCCTCAATTATAAGCAAAAGATTGGAAACATTTGCACCAGACTTGATAGAAGTAGACCAAACTGGCTTCATAAAGGGGCGCCAGACGCAAGATAATATAAGAAGAGCCCTACACATTATTGATAATTCTCAAAAATCCAACCTTGGCACACTGATAATTAGTCTGGACCAGGAAAAAGCATTTGACAGTGTTAGTTGGCTATATCTGTATGAAGTATTAACCAAGTTTGGTTTCAATGACAAGGCCATCCAGTGTATTAAGGCGCTCTACCACAACCCTACAGCTAGAATAAAAGTGAACGGGAGCCTAACAGATAGAATAACATTACAAAGGGGAACCAGACAGGGCTGCGTTCTCTCGCCAATTCTGTTTTCACTGTACGTGGAGCCCCTAGCACAAGCAGTGAGGCAAAGTCCAGATCTGGAGGGTGAAGCCAATAATTCCTTTTGACTGACGTGTCCACAATTTGATACAGAAATCAGACAAAAAGATTCTCCAAGTTTAACATCTGCATTTAATTATCTTTACAATCAGATACAGAATATTCAACAAAAGAGAGCTCTTAAAAGCTAATCCATGTCCCTCTCTGGCCCTCGTCTCATCCTGCTGTGTCTCCCCAAGCCAGAGCATATATAAAGAACAGGAAGGAGGGGAGTGTCCTATCAGCCAGCTTCCGGTCTAGGGTCCAGCCTTTTCCTCCGTCTGCCAGACTCCTGATGGAGTGAGGTTGAAAAGTGCAGAAGTCAGCAGGCCAAGACTAGGGGGTTGAAATCCAAACAGGAGAATCCATCTGTTGTCCAGTTGCTGGCACAAGAAGACACCTAAAATAAAATAAGAAGGACTGGCCTCCCACTTAGAGGTTAGCTAGGTCATAAAACACATGGTTTTAGAATGTCACGTATTTATAAATACAACAGTTTCCCTCTTTTGACCTGATTAAAAATTAGGTCACAATCCACATCGTCGTTTATCATCAATACTTGTGCTTAGTTCCGGCTTGATATCTGTGAAGAGTTAATACAGAGAAAACAAACAACACACAACAAACCACATTTTTACCATTCCTTCAATACTATTTGATGACCACTGCTGTGTCATTCTGATTCTTCTTCAACCTCGTCTGTAATGTATGCACTAAAACTATTCACTATAGTTTAAACTATTCTAATCTATTTACAAATATGTTTGCATATTTTGCTTTTATTGAGCCCTATTCTTAAACATATGTTTTTATCTAATAAATCTATCTATACTGTGGTTTGCTTTCAAATGTTTTTGAATCTGTGTTGGTTCTAATCTATCTCATTAATCTATTTCATTAACTTTTTGCATTGTCAACATTCACCTATGTTTGAAACAAGTGAATTTGACAAGTATGAACTTTATCTACTTTTGAAGTAAATACTTTTGGACATATTATGAAGGAAATTGTCCTTTTACCGTTTGCTATTAGCCTTGGCTAAAAATAATCTCTATTTTTGAAAGCCTCTATGGTTGATGCATTTATCTATTTCTAGTTTTACGCTATTTTTTCCCAAAGCTCGGCTGTAGCTTGAGCCAAAGCATATTCCCAATTTGTGAGTTCTATCACTTTCAATGGCTGTAAATAATTCTGATTCTAACTCTATCTAGCTTCTCTATCAGAAGGATCACAATGTATGGTACCATTTTAACTCTTACTCCGAAGTTTGTTTATGACCAATGATCAAATTCTACTTTTTCCTACTATTTAACATCTACTAAAACACTAAAATACTCATACTTTATCATTTTAAACCATTTTACCAGTTGTTCAGTCCCCCCAGACTGAACCCTTAACATTTATTGCATTTGGTCATAGTTGTGGTTCTAATTGTAACAATTGCATTGGCAATAGACAATTTTTCATTGGCTGGTTCTTGTTCTGCAAATCACTATTTTTATGTGTTGTATTTCAGACAATTCCAAAAACAACACAGTCGTTCTCCAATATTAAAGACATAAATATAAATCAAGTTGCCTGAAAGGGAGCGGGAGGAAGAGAACTATTTTAAAACCGTTCTCTACGATTATATGGCTATGAAATTAATTATTTAATAAACAAAAGCACATTCATGGCTTCTGTCCGCTGCTTATAGCTGTTTAAAGAGTTGTCCCAAACTTAATATGTGTGAATACATCAGCTGTTTGTAATAAACAATAACATTTAACCTGTTCTCCAATGGAGCAGCTCAGAGGCTGCATCAAGAGCAATGTTATATTTGAGCTATTTTTAGATTTAAAATTTTGTTAAAGCCTGTCGTTCTATGTCTGCATTTTAATACTACTCTCTATAAACACCTCTGCACTAGTTCCTACAGATGTGGAAAACAGAAACATCTAAAACCTGACTCCATTTGATTCCTTTTTACTTTAGTTATTAGAACAATTTGACCTTATTGATACTTATTTCCACAATAGAACTATTTTGATTATTCACTCCGGTGGACTCACCACCTGCAGGAGGATCAGTGAGGGGCTGGTGCTCTGTGTACTGGGTGCAGCTCTGACTGCCACCCCCCCCCGAGCCAGAAATGGATTAAGGGGAAGAAAATGGATGGATGGATGGATGATTATTCACTAGTCTAACTATTATTACTATTGTTTATTCTGACACCTCTTCTTAGCGACCCTTCAACCTATAGCTCCTCGAATCCAATGACATTATAGCTCCAGACTATTTCATTCTATTCTATTATTATTATTATATGATCTATTATCTTAAAGAGTAGATCTGCTTGATGTTATAAGCGCTATTATTTCTCCTTTTGAATTTGCACAACACTACATTTAGAATGACCCCCTATGGGACAAATAAAGAATTTTATTTTATTTTGGCAACTCCGAAAATTACTTAATAATTTTTCCATTTTGCTTTTTAGGCTGCCCTTTCCATTATTTATTTGGTCTTGTAAATATATGTTTTACACTTCTTTCTAATGATTTAGAAGGTTAAGGACCATGACCACCTATGACAATAACATACTCCCCTCTGTTGGTCATGGGCCAAGTGTAAATGTATGCATCTGTGTGTGTGTGTAGATTACTGTTCCGTTCATCTCGAGTTGCTTTCTCCCGGATCGTCCTCAATTCATATTGTGGGCTTTGGCGCCAAAGTAGAGGCTCATTTCCTCATGATCCATACTACTGTCATCCCTGAAGCAGGTGCAGTTTATCTGTCATCTGAAAAAGAAACATTAGAACACAAAAATGCCCACTTCCCTGGCTTTTAGCGGCCTGTCAATCTTTTCCAATTAGGCAAAACATAACTGCATTGACAGACGGTGTGTGACATCAGGGCAGAGGCTGTAGCCAAATACAGACTTAACAATATGTATGTTTCTAATTTTATACTCCCCTAAATGTGAGTTACAAACCAAAGTTGTCCTTCAACCAACGACAGCTCACTGCGGTTGGACCGAATCACTGTCAGGACAAACAGCAGAGGGGGGGACTCCCAGTACCTTCAGCAAGGTATTCATCTCAGAGTACTTTCCGCAGAGTACTTTTCTCAGAGTACTCATCCCAGAGTACTCTCACTTTTACACCTGTTCAATAAAGCTTGTTATCTTTGAATCTCTAGTACTTACACCGTATGCTGTTGACAAAAAATAATTATTCCATGATCACATTACAGAAAGACATTTGTTATTCCATTCTCCGTTCAGCACTCCTCATTCACTCCTCATTTCACAACACACTCACAACACACTCACAACACAGTCACAACACAGGCCGACTCCCCACGTTAGTATATTGGTCCAGTTTGTTAAGGTCAACGTAGTGTACTTGACATGACGCACAAACATATAACACACACAAACATATAACACACACAAACATATAACACACACAAACATATAACATACACAAACATATAACACACAGAAGGCCTGTAATTTTAACTTTGTTATATTTTTCCATGTCCAATTACAATTGTCTCATGAGCTATTTCTATTGTTGCAACTTTCAGAGCCTGCAGAACATGCAGAGCTTTGAGAGATTTTTCCTAAAAGGATCCATTTCCAACTTTAGTGTTTACCACGTGGTCTGTACTCGGGCTTATCACAGATTGTGTCCCCTATATCTTTAATGAGCTCTTGTTACTTTAAAATGTTTTTTCCTTCTTTTTTTCTTTTTCAGTAAAGCCAGGTCGGATTCATTAAAAATGTAAATTAGTCTCAAACTTTAATACTTCACCTTTGTTTTACGTTCATGTGGAGAAAAGACCATTGTCCTATGTGTGTTGTTGTACTTGCACCAATCATGTCTCAGATGAACGGCCAACAGTTGTATTAAAGACATAACTGTCCTAATTGTTTCTAATTTAGCTATTTGGAAGAGAAAAATGTCATAAAAGATTTCAAAAAATGTCCCTACATCTTTGTTTTCAACCAATGAACAGTGTTGCGTCAATGTGTTATCAGAAATGATCCAAAATCACCTTTAGCCAAAATTTAGAAATGCTTTAAATCATTTTTCAAACTTTAATTGTCTGAACAAACCATTTTGTACTAAATGCAGCGTCCATTAAAAGCTGCAGTTCTCTTTCTAGCACCAGTTTCAACTGTGCATGTGATTGTTCTTAAATGATTAACGAGCCACGGTTCAGAGGTTGAAAAATTGCCTTAAATATCCGTATTACCAAGATCATGCAGTCAAAATCAATAATTCTAAACTTCTCCGCGTCTATAACTTTAAATAACAATAATAGTTTCAATAATAGCGCTCCTCTACCTTAAATATACTGCTGTTCTAATCTCCTTGTGTCTCATGCTAAAGCAAGAGTCTAATTAATTTTAACGATTGTCCTGTATTCTTTCATGCAGCTAAATGTAGTGTTATGAACGAATGACCTAGCTAAATGTGTAAATATGACTTAATATGTCTCTGTGCGTTTGTTGCCTGTCTGTATATTTACCTTCTGTCTGTCTCATTTAGGCCTGCCACGTCTTCCTCAAATGTCCGTTAATGTCTTTCTTTTACTCATGGCGTCTTTCAATGTCTTTTGTCTCAAAGTGTCCAATGTCTTTGTCTCAATGTCTTTTTTCTTCTTCTTTCAACAATCACTTTCTTTCTTCTTCCGATAACTCTTTCTCACAATGTCTTTCTTCTTCTTTCAACAATCACTTTCTTTCTTCTTCCGATAACTTTTCCTCATAATGTCTTTCTTCTTCTTTCATATCTGACGCACCCAAATGTGTCGTGTCCTTCTTCTTCTTGTTTGGTTTTCCGGCGGTTGGCGGCCTATTTTTCGCATTACCGCCACCTTCTGTTCCGTAGATGGGACAACACTCTGTTTGTGAAGTAGGCCCAGTCCCAATACCCACACTGCACCCTACGCCCTCCTATGAAGTGTGCATTTGTTTGAAGTGCGCGCAAGGGTTTGAGTGCGCAGGTTGCAAGCGTGCACAAAAGGTGGAATTGGGACATTGCACACTGAGTGCAGTTTACTTCCCCTAGACTGCACGCATTCCTTCCTGACAGATATGGCAGAGACTGCCCCCTGTGTCAGGGCCCCCCCGAGACCTTGGAGCACCTGCTGGTCTTGTGCCCAGCCGTCCGCCCCTTCTGGACCCGGGTCCAGGATCTGCTCGCACGGAGGCTGGCATGGAGACTCCCCACGCCGGCTGCCCTAGGAGGGGGAGACAAGAAGTCCTGGCTCCTCCACTTTGGGCCCATCGGAAGTCGCTCTGGAGCCACCACCAACATCGACCTGGTTCGACTCATTACTGCAATGGCCCGCTACAGAGTCTTCATCGTCCGGAACATCTGTCTTCACAACCGCCGAACAGGACTTCACTGGCCCACATTCACAGGACTGTTGACCGCACACCTCCGTCCACCTGCACTCTGCATTGGAGCAACGGTTCACCAGCACTCTTGTCCCCCACAACACCCTGATCCAACTCACACCATCTGGACTGACACTGAACCTCTGACGACACTCACCATGGATCCCTGTCACATCCCCTAGCCCTGGGAACCCCTCCCCCCATTGGACTGTCAGTATTGCATGTTATGGTCGGATGTCACATTTGTCTGTTAATTCCATAATGTGTCCACTCCCCTTCCCATCCAGACCCTTCCCACTTACCCACCCATCCTCTTTTGTGTGTCTGTAAATATTATGTGTAAATACTTTTTGAATCTCTGTACTGAATTTTAATTATGTTTTGATAATAAAAAAATAATAATAAAAAAAAAAACAGGAATCCTAACCGCTAGACCATATGGGATTCACCAGGTAAAAAAACAACAAGAGATTGTCTTCCGCACTCGACTTGTGACCCAACACTGCAGGGCAAGTGATTGTTATTGCTCAGCCTGAAGTATTCAATATGAGAGCAAAACATTCACTTTGAAAGTGCTACCAGAGGAATTGTTTTAATGGCACAACTGGCGATTGTGAAAGTGCTACCAGAGGAATTGTTTTAATGGCACAACTGGCGATTGTGAAAGTGCTACCAGAGGAATTGTTTTAATGGCACAACTGGCGATTGAAGGTTAAAAAAAAATAAAAAGAAGTTTTTTTTCCAAATTCCAATTTGCTCAACATCTATCTCTCGGAAATTTTGTTCCATGCATCCAACCGAAAAAAAGGGTCTTTCAAGGTTTTTTTGTCTCTTGCAAGACAGGAGAGGTGTTGTCGAGGCGCCTCAAGACCGACACTTTATGTATCTCAGAGAGCGCTTTTTGTATCTCAGAGAGGGCCTGCATTGGCCGGGAATCGAACCCGGACCTCCCGCGTGGCAGGCGAGAATCCTACCATTGGCTAGATGGCTAGAGGAACCAAAAAATTCAAGAGTGGAAGGTTTTTGCGACGGGGATGGGAAACCTTAAGAGTAAGAAGGGCTAGTGCCAGACCGCACTTTGGGCAACGGACTTGTTGACGAGGAAGCGCCTTGCCATGGTCCTCTCTGGTCACACACCATGAGGAAGGGGAGCCATGCCCAAAGGACCAGCGGAAAAGATGGCGGTAACTTCATGCCTCTGTGTTAGTTCGCTAACACACCTACTAACATTAGAACGATACAGAGAAGATTAGCATGGTCCCTGCGCAAGGATGACACGCAAATTTGTGAAGCGTTCCTCATTTTTGGCACCCCTGTTGTGCCATGGGATGCTCTGGTGCCGCACACTCGATAGGATTGCTTTCTAAATTTGGTTTGACCTGTGCTTAAATGGTATTCTCCGTCTGCTGCGGCTGTATTTCCACGCAAAAAACCACTACGTGAGACTCAGCGCGCTCGGCTGTTGAGCAAGAGGTTAGTGATTCAAGCACACCAAGGGACGCTCTCTGTCATATGTAGCAGCTTTGTGTTGGATGGCAATGAACGGACTTTTGTGTTAAAACCATGTTCCCATACAGGGAGTTGAACCCAGGCCGCCTGGGTGAAAACCAGGAATCCTAACCGCTAGACCATATGGGATTCACCAGGTAAAAAAACACAAGAGATTGTCTTCCGCACTCGACTTGTGACCCAACACTGCAGCGGCAAGTGATTGTTATTGCTCAGCCTGAAGTATTCAATATGAGAGCAAAACATTCACTTTGAAAGTGCTACCAGAGGAATTGTTTTAATGGCACAACTGGCGATTGTGAAAGTGCTACCAGAGGAATTGTTTTAATGGCACAACTGGCGATTGTGAAAGTGCTACCAGAGGAATTGTTTTAATGGCACAACTGGCGATTGTGAAAGTGCTACCAGAGGAATTGTTTTAATGGCACAACTGGCGATTGTGAAAGTGCTACCAGAGGAATTGTTTTAATGGCACAACTGGTGATTGAAGGTACAAAAAAATTTTTTTTTCCAAATTCCAATTTGCTCAACATCTATCTCTCCGAATTTTTGTTCCAGGCATCCAACCGAAAAAAATGGGTCTTTCAAGGTTATTTTGTCTTTTGCAAGACGGGAGAGGTGTTGTCGAGGCGCCTCAAGACCGACACTTTATGTATCTCAGAGAGCGCTTTTTGTATCTCAGAGAGGGCCTGCATTGGCCGGGAATCGAACCCGGACCTCCCGCGTGGCAGGCGAGAATCCTACCATTGGACCACCAATGCCTTAGCAACTCAATATTAGGGTTAAAAAAAGAAAGAAAATGGCTAGAGGAACCAAAAAATTCAAGAGTGGAAGGTTTTTGCGACGGGGATGGGAAACCTTAAAGAGTAAGAAGGGCTAGTGCCAGGCCGCACTTTGGGCAACGGACTTGTTGATGAGGAAGCACTTTGCCATGGTCCTCTCTGGTCACACAGCATGAGGAAGGGGAGCCATGCCCAAAGGACCAGCGGAAAAGATGGCGGTAACTTCATGCCTCTGTGTTAGTTCGCTAACACACCTACTAACATTAGAACGATACAGAGAAGATTAGCATGGTCCCTGCGCAAGGATGACATGCAAATTCGTGAAGCGTTCCTCATTTTTGGCACCCCTGTTGTGCCATGGGATGCTCTGGTGCCGCACACTCGATAGGATTGCTTTCTAAATTTGGTTTGACCTGTGCTTAAATGGTATTCTCCGTCTGCTGCGGCTGTATTTCCACGCAAAAAACCACTACGTGAGACTCAGCGCGCTCGGCTGTTGAGCAAGAGGTTAGTGATTCAAGCACACCAAGGGACGCTCTCTGTCATATGTAGCAGCTTTGTGTTGGATGGCAATGAATGGACTTTTGTGTTAAAACCATGTTCCCATACCGGGAGTTGAACCCGGACCGCCTGGGTGAAAACCAGGAATCCTAACCGCTAGACCATATGGGATTGACCAGGTAAAAAAACACAAGAGATTGTCTTCCGCACTCGACTTGTGACCCAACACTGCAGCGGCAAGTGATTGTTATTGCTCAGCCTGAAGTATTCAATATGAGAGCAAAACATTCACTTTGAAAGTGCTACCAGAGGAATTGTTTTAATGGCACAACTGGCGATTGTGAAAGTGCTACCAGAGGAATTGTTTTAATGGCACAACTGGCGATTGTGAAAGTGCTACCAGAGGAATTGTTTTAATGGCACAACTGGCGATTGAAGGTAAAAAAAAAATAAAAAGAAGTTTTTTTTCCAAATTCCAATTTGCTCAACATCTATCTCTCGGAAATTTTGTTCCATGCATCCAATTTCTTCAATAGTTTGCAAGAATGTCAAACCACTCTAAAATATCGACAAAAGGAGTGTCAGGAGTGGGATTTGAACCCACGCCTCCATCGGAGACCAGAAACCCCAGCATTGGCGTTGAGGAAGAGGCACATCTTGAGTCTGGCGCCTTAGACCGCTCGGTCACCCTGACTATTGAAGCAGCAGTGATAGGTGAGATTGTAGTAAATGTGTTTAATGGAGGTCACGACAAAGACCTCAGGACCTTCATCTCACACAGCTAACAAGAGTTTGGGTGATCGCCCGAACAGGGACTTGAACCCTGGACCCTCAGATTAAAAGTCTGATGCTCTGCCGACTGAGCTATCCAGGCTCTGGCTGCAAGGGTTTTATTATTATTATTATTACAACGGTAGCGCCTCTAACTCCAGATCAGGTTGGGTGCTTGGAAATTGCCTGTATGTGTGAGCAATATTGGATTTGTGGTCATCTCTTGCTCTGCAAACATACCCAATACGGTAGTGTGGCCGAGTGGTCCAAGGCGCTGGATGAAGGCTCCAGTCTCCTCGGAGGCGTGGGTTCAAATCCCACAGCTGCCACGGCTCTAGCCTTACAGTCCTCCGCTCTACCAACTGAGCTACCGAAGGTGATCACATCAAAGAGACGATGTGGCTTGAAGCTAACCCAACTATTGCGACTGTATTTCCACGCAAAATCGTCTCTCAATCTGCCTTTGGGAGACTACTGAGGGGGAATCTGGAGTTTGTTGTATATTTTAATATTTGACCATTTGAACATCATAGCCAGAAAGACCTCTGTGCACTCAGGAAAAACCCCAAGGACACAGGATAATCAGACATGAGTCATAAAGATAAAATGCTGTTTAAACAGGGCGAATTATTAACTTTAAATAATAAACATTTTGACGAGGACAAGAGTTCAGAACCTGAATCTTGAGGCAGACTGGGAGATTCACCAACTGCATTCTGACGCCTCCCAGTGGACAAGGGACGTCAGCACACCCGGAAACTCCACCCCTTGGACGCATAAGGATGACGTCATCGGAAGTCTCCCTCATGAGCCCCTGTGTGTTTTTTTTTGAGGTCAGACAGGACAGGGCACGGACAGGGGAAGAGCAGGCCTAGAATAGGAGCACTTTTGTTGAATATTCTGTATCTGATTGTAAAGATAATTAAATGCAGATGTTAAACGTGAAGATCTCTTGTCTCGCTCTTGCATCGATTTTGGATACGTCAGTCAAAGGAAATTATTGACTTCAAGTTGAACCAGAGACCTCTTGATCTGCAGTCAAATGCTCTACCACTGAGCTATACCCTGAGCTATGCCCCCAAGAAACAAGACCAATTTGTCACAGCTATACCCCCATGAAACAAGACCACTCTGTCACACAAGTCTGCTTCCCTCTCTAGACATTTTGCAGCAGAAGGTCTCTGTGGCGCAATCGGCCAGCGCGCTCGGCTGTTAACCGAGAGGTTGGTGGTTCGAGCCCACCCGGGGATGCTCCCACAAGGGTAGCAACCATGTAGCTAGTTCATTTTGTTGCTTGGTTTAATGCAATGAAAAGACTTTTGCGCTAAAAGGTCTTCCCATACCGGGAGTTGAACCAGTGGCGCCTGGGTGAGAGATGAGAGATGATACTTTATTTTCTCTCACAATGGACAAATTCAGTTTGTTGAAAAAACATCAAGGCTGGCTGCATACTAAATTTCTGTAGACATCCCTCCCACGTGGCGGTAGATCAGGCCAACTCCAAACCCAATCAGGAGAAAACCTGCTATATATCCTCAATGTCTTCAATGGACAGTCGCGACAGACAAATGGGGTGCCACAAAACCAAGTCAGTAAAAAAAAATAAAACAAATAAAACA